AGCAGCCCACTTTGCTCCCTGCTTCCTACTGAGCTTGAAATCAACTCGCCCCTGCCCCATCTTTTACTCCAGAACTGCCATGCCTGGTATCACAGACATTGGGAAGTGAAGTTGGTTGAGGAGAGGGTTCAAGTCATGCTTGGGAGGTAGGGGTGAGCAGGTGTGTGCATGGACTGAACATAGGGGAGTCAAGTCAAGGGAAATGTGGGCGAGGGCTACTTTCTAAGTACTAACTCTCCTAAATGGGTAGATGGAGGCTCTGGCAATCAACTGCAATCATAGAATTGAAGCAGTTTCTTTTTCTTTCAAAGAGAATAAGTTTATTAAATTTCAGATTGAATTTGATGTGACTTGGAATGTCCACATGGAGGACTTAGAAGATGGTCAGAAAGATAATGTAGGGCTTAGGAGAGAGATCTTTATCATAAAGAAAAAGAGAGCAGGTGTGTCATTAATGAAATAATTCATCAAATATGTTTTGAGTACTTAACTGTGTGCCAGGCACTGTGCTTTACTTTCCATGAATGATTTGCTACCCATATTTCTTCCAGAGGAATGAAGAAAAATCTGCTCTCGACTGTGGAGATATTATGTTGGCATTATCCACTTTCTCACCTTCCTTTCTCAAGCAGAAGAACTCCATAATGATGACGAGAGTTCTTGAGTAGCTATATGTGGTCACTGTGTGGCCTTTTGGCAATCACGCCTTAGCTGGGTAGGTATAATAACTGACATTATTACAGAGCACATGCCATTGACAAGATGTCTTCAAATGCACCAGGCATGTCCCATATGTCAGAACAATCTCTGAAACAGTTCAGTATCCCACAGGACCTTTCTTTGGGCTGGAAAAGGTACCCAGAGCTGGGATTGGTTATCTAGAATTGCCTCCCTTTGGTCTGTGCCCCACTGCCTTCTACTAGATTTCCCTGGAAACAAAGTTGACCTCCAGGAGATGGGGGGCAGGACATGTTTGCCCAACTCTATCCAACAGGATATGATATCACTCTTCTGGGAATGGGTCAGCTTGGGAAATAGTGAGTAGGGTTTTGCTTACTCAAGACGACTTTAAAAGCATGGCAGTGTTAATCAGTGGTTAACTGAACAGGACTTGCTTCCATAATAGCAGATACGCTGCAGTTTCCACATCTCTGGGTGAAAATACACTTCCCCAAGTTTGATGTCAGACGGATCATCTTCTAGACTGGGATTTACAAATTAAAATGCCTACGGTGGGGGTAATAAAAAGATTAAGCTTCCTCGTGCAATTTACTAGGAAGTAGTGGCCACTGCAGCCTACCAGGGATCAGTGAAAGCAGACCCACTGCAATCAGGCAATTCTACTGACTTTTGCCAGTAGGGATGTAGAAGCAGGGATGCAAGATCTACCCATTTATTAATTTTTTTTTTAAAGAGAAGCTTGAAATCCCAGTTTTGATTTCCCAGTTTCCCAATGTTGGCACATAATTTTAACTCACTGAAAACATGGTATAGGGCAAATGAAACACGTTGCATCATGCTGGACTCCAGCTGGCCCACTGGCCAGGCCTGTATGACCCACAGTGGCAAGGGCCATGTCTGTTCTATTTACTGCTATGTCCCCAGCATCACACCTGGTGCAGAGTTGGTGATCTGTAAATATTTGCTGAGTGAACAAAAGAGCAGTCCCACTCTTATTCCCCACGTTGGACATTCCTGGGAACCAGGCAGAATGAAAACCGATGCCAGGTCTGTAAATTCTGTTGCACCACTGAAATGCTGCAGTTGTGCATAATGACCTGATAGGGGGTGGCTGGGAGGTGTGTTTTCTGCAGACAGACAGACTGTGGAATAATAAGCCACCACAGTCCCCCGTTCAGGGACCTTTAGGTTCTCAGGAAGAGGCTCCATCTCCGTTGGTCAGAGATGGTAAATTACGGTTTAAACATTAAGACTAGGCAGATAACCTTGGTGACGCTCATGTTTAATAATCAACTATCAGCACCCTACACTGGCCCTGGGATGTGCCTAATATTCAGGGGAAACCAACCCACAGAGAAATCTTCTCCTTGAGGAGTCATTTACTCAAAAAATACTGTTACTGGATGAATTCATGTGTCAGAGTCCTGATCCCCCAGGACCCCAGAATGTGACCTTATTTGGAGACACGGTCTTCCAAGAGGTAGGCAAGTTCAGATGAGGTCATTAGGGTGGGTCTTGATCCAGCATGCCTGGCATCTTAGCCAAAGGGGAAATTCGGACACAGACACACACAGAAAGGGAAGACAGTACGAAGAGAATCCAGGGAGAAGACGGGAGAAGACGGCCATCCACAGCCAAGGAGAGAGGACGGAGCAGAGTTTCCCCACAGCCTCAGAAGGAACCAATCCTGCTGACACCCTGTTTTGGACTTTAGCCCCCAGAACTGTGAGACAACACATTCCTGTTGTTTAAAGTACCCACTTTGAGGTACTTGGTTACAGCAGCTCTAGCAAACTAATACATACTACTATTATTTGTTTTATAAATGCTTGCTATATGCCAGGCACTGTTTTAAGAAACTCTTGACTATTAACTTATTTATTCTTTATAACAAGTCTATGAGAGAAGAAGTATTATTATACCTGCTGTGATTATTAGAAGGGGAACTGAGGGACAGAAAGGGCAAGTAACTTGCCCAAGGAGACACAGCAAGTAAGGACAGGCCTGGAATTTGAATTCAGCTATGTAGTTCCAGTCTGTATCCTTAAGGAGGACTGGAGAACTTAACTGGTGAAACACTCAAAAAGTCAAAGGTGCTTACACATTTCTGGTTGTTTTCTGTCCTTTTACAATGGTATCTGACCAGTGCTGGTACCAGCCAGTGGTTGACCATTCACCATAGCAGATGTTACCACAGTAAGATAAAGCTTTTTGCCGGATAGGAAAGTTCGAGTTTAAAATTGATATCACTTCCTTTATGTAATACAAGGGCTCTTGAAATCACATTGTGATTTTCCAAGATGTACTATATTCATTTTGGATGGCTTTAAAATTGTTCCTTACTTTATGCCTCTAACACCCCTTAGCCTCAAGCAATCATTTGTCAACAACTGCTTCATTCATTTGGAAAGTACTGTTTTTTAAAAAATCTCTATCCTTATGAAGTATAAAATCATCTGTTTTGCAAATCTGGATTTCTTTAGAAGGTATCCCACTGTGTTTGTGTTTGTCAAGGATCCTTTTTTTAGAGAATTCTTAAGAGTTCCTGACCTGGGCAGTGACATTAGCAGAGGAAAGCCATATTGCTCCTGGTGCTGGTTGCCTTCCATTCTGAACTCCCCTGCTTTCTAGACCCACTTTGCTGCCTTCTCTACCCTGACTGTACCCTGAAAGGCTGAATATTAAGGGCCCCCGACTACCTCTCTGGCTCCCTGGCCCCTGGTTGGATAGGGCCAATGGGGAGCGTGGTATGAGGCCCCAGGGAGGGAAGGGGGAGGGAAGGGTTTGGTGGCCCTGGTGGCCACAGCTCCTGCGAGGCAGCCCTCATCCACAGCCCCATGGGTCTCTGGGTCCTTTTCCTTTGCCCTCCCCCCCCCATGACTGGGGGCAGTTGTGGTGGCAGTGGGCTGCTGCTGCCTCCCATTACTGGGCTGTTCTTACGTGTGTGTTTCTCTGTGCTCTTCACACACACTTGTGATGTCTCCTCCTGCTTAGCTCCCCTCCAATGGCCCATCTGTTCCCAGCCAGGACCTTGACTGGGAGACTCCCCTTCTCCTCACTCTATAACCCTTCAGGTGCTAGGCCATGCAGATTTCATTTTCTAAAGAGTATCTCCCCTCATTTATGTTCCTAAGCCACCAAAATCCTGGCCCTCAGGCCTTTGCTGAACCAGGGTACCGGCCTCTCGCCCAGGAGCCTGGCTTCCTGTCCCGTCCGCTCGTGGTATGCACAGGACCCCGCGCCGGCTGCTGTACAGCTTTCAACCAGAGGGTCTGGCTCTTATGACACCATCATTCCAAAACTTTGCTCCTCGGAGGCCAGCTCAACCTCAGATTCAACTCCGTTCCCTGTGACCCAATGCCAGAGAGTTTCTCACAGAATCCTCACAACAGCCCTGAACACTGGCATTACTACTCACACTCTATACATGACACAATTCAGGCTCACAGATGTGATCGATGCTGTCCAAGGTCGCAGAGAGAGTACACCACAGACTTGCATTTGGCCTTGGGAATGCATACCCCAGAGCTCAGGTTCTCATTGCCCCAGGATGGCATCTGCTTATCTTGTGACACCTGGCAGGAGTTATAGGATCCCTCATGCTCTATTCAGCAAAGCAAAGTCCACTCTAAAAAAGGAACTTGCTGGCATGCCGATCCACGATAGAGCCCAAGGAAGGGGAACGAGGCGGGTGGAAGCTGATGAAATGAGGGAGAATGGCTCTTGGCAATGATATGTGTGTGCCCAACCTGAAGGATGAGGCTGTGTTATGTTCTGTGCCCAGGAAAGCTGGAGCTTTCAGGAACTCTGGGCGTTCTGACCCAAGCGAGAAGCGCAGCATCTCATGTTTGGGGCCTCTCGCACCCTGGGGTCAACTCAGTCTCTCTGGACTTTGGACCTGGGGGCTTGGGAACTCCTGGGGTCCACATGGAAATGGGAGACAGGGGACAGATGGCTGGGAACATATGCAGGGAGAAGGAAAGGCTGGACAGCAGACCCACCCCGCAGAAGTCCTTCCTTTCCGCAGAACCCTGAGGCCCAGGTGTGTGAGCTCAGCGTCGGCTCAGGGGGCCTTGGTGTCCAGTCCACACCTCTGGTCACGCTCTCGCCTCGAGTGCCCCTCCCCGTCCCTTACTGGTCCCGAGGGCCACACCCCACCTGTTGCATTCTGCCCAGCTCTGTACCACCAGGCACTCCATCATCTCCAAAATTACTCCTTTCCCTCAAATTCCTGCTTTGTGGTATATCAAAGCTCAGCTGGATTTCAAAAGAAAGGATTCTGATGACATTAAAATGCACACTTATGAGTCGCTGATTGAACATTCCCATTTTTGCCATCTGAGACATGTGTTTCCAGTTAACACAATTTACAATATGCTTACAAACTGTTTTCTTATAATCTCATTTAATCCTCAAAATCACACTTCTGCTATTCTCCATTTATGACGAAAATGTGACATCCAAAAGGGTGAGTGACTTACTCGTTCATATCATAAAGTCAACAATGACAAAGCCACAGAGACCACTGCAGTGACCACGGCAGCCGGAGCACCTCCCCTGACCCAGGTGCAGCCCAGGTGCCCCACTCTGCACTTCCCACGCTCATTAGCACTGATTCCATCCACACCGAGCTGGGTCTCATCACTCCCATCTTGCAGAGGGGCAAGGACGCTGAAGAGCACAGAGCTGGTGAGGGTAAAAGAAGGGTGAGAGGCCTGGGCCACATGCTCGGGGAGCCCGAGCCCATCAGCTCCCACGCAGCCCCCAGACCACAGCCTGCGCTCCTCTCCAGGTGAAGCAGTCAGCACTTCCTAACAAGCTCCTGCTTGGCCCCCACTCAACAATGACACCTGAACCACTGGTTAGGCATGGTACACTGTCAAAAATGCTACCCATGCAGGTGCTTTTCCTGATCCAGCCACTGACTGCATGACTTGAAGGAGTGAACATCAGCTACAACGCTGCACCTGAAACACTGGAGTGGTGATGCCATCTTACAGGTTGGATGTGAGGACTCGGGGAGATCCCAGGGTGGCTGGTGGGGACAGAGGACCCAGTAAATGGAAGTGAAAGGAAAAATGAGTAAGAGTTTCTCTTAGGTCCACTTTCGGGCCTGAGGATTAAGTTAGGAATCTCACATCTTAAAGAGGAGAGCGCATTTGCCTAGATCAGGTCACCCCATGGGTCTCCTGCCAACACCCTGTCCTTGTGACCTTATGCCCAGGAACGCCTTCACTCGTGTGAGGTCTGATTTCCACTCTCTCCGCTTGCAGCCTCTCAGAGTTGGGAGGCACCTCAATGGTGATTGAGCCCAGCCCCTGAGCCCTGAGCCTGGGTTTCTCCAGTGTTCTCCAGGGCAGTCCGCAGAGAAGCAGTTTCTCTTATGGGGACCCCAAGGCTGTCCACATCATCCTACTCTGTTTATTTTCCACCACTCCTGGAAGGTAAGCACACTCTCCCTAATTAGACAAAGCATATGCAGCTGGGATGGCATTTTTGCGTGTCTTTGTCTTCTGCAGTATTCACCCCTATTGGTTGTTATTAATTTAAAAAGAAAAAAAAAGTAAAATCTCTGTTTTTCTCTCAGGAATACTCAGTGCTACTAATGGCACAAGAGTTCCTTATGATTCCAGACAGAAAAGGCAGGGTTCACTGCTTGTTACCTTATTCCTCAGAGCTTTTACAGAATAAATGAGCCATCTTTCTCTTCTATCATTTAGCGGGAATATATATATTTTTTTATCTAAATACATCCCCCCCCATAAAGATAGTGAGAAATAACAGGTAGTTCACATCTTTGCTTGTCTGAAAGCAGGCAGATGCAAACATGTGGCTCACTAGGTGATCAGGTCTACAGAATTTTGCTCTTTTTCTGAGCCTGGTGTGAAGCCAAAGCACCGTTCCCGACTGTCAAAACCAAGAGACGAAATTCTCGAGCTACAAGGAGAGGGACTTCGGCCACAGTCCCTAGCTCAGCACAGCTATGTAATATACGAAGGAAGGCAGCAGAGAGAGGAGTCCTGCAAACATATGGTAGATAAAGATATCCCGCTTCCATCTCAGGGCCTTTGGCTTTGTTTTCCTCCCCTCCATGCCCACAGCCTTGAAATGGAGTGGGGGGGTCAGGACACAGCCTCAGAAGGTACTGGTTTTTCTGGCGTTGCTGCTCAGCGCTAGCTTTTTTAGAAGAACTTGCAGATTCTTAGATAAGAAAAGTCTCTAATTCAACCTCTCTCATTTTACAGATGTGCAATCTGGGGTCCAGAGAGGAGACTCCTGGAGAAGTCACAGACCCAGAGAAGTGACTGTTCTTGAGGGTCCTCTGGTTCAACAACCCTGCCTGGGGCTAGAAAGACCTAGACAAGCTAAGCCGAGGAGGGGGCAGGAGGGAGGACTTGAACGCAGACCCCACCCTCCAGGAGGATACCCAGGCTGCGTGCCCCAGCGGGTACCAGTGGTCAAAGGGACCATATTGAGGGATTGGGCCTCCTTGTGCTTCTGAGTGCATTTTTTAACATCTGAGGCCCAGCCCAGCCGCAGAATGTCTGGTCCTGGCTCTGCAAAGCAGCTGTTGCCTCTGGCATGTTAGAGACCTTGGCCAAAGCGCTTGTCCATTTTCTCTCCTTCCTGGGATGGCTCAACAGCCTGCAGGTGTGTAGAGAAACCAACCCCAGGCCCATGGGGCTGCAGGCACACGAGAGCGGGATGTCTCACGATCTCTAGACCCGAAGGCAGCTTCTCGATGGTGATCTGTTTATCAGACCGCTCATTCCCGTCCCACCGCCTGCCCACATCCATTCACCCACCGGCGGAGGGCCAGCCTCGCTGCTCCTCCCAGCCCTGAGACAGGTCAGGCCGTCCAAGGCTGCCAGCCTCGTGCGGGAGGGCTCCTTAGAGCCCCCCCCAGTTAGACAATGGCCACGTTCCTGCTTCCTAGGCCTTCGGAGGCATCGTACAAGGAGAGAGCAGCCTTCCTTGCAGAGGCAAGTGTCGCTGCTGATGAAACACTAGCAAAATTATCATTAAAAACCGGACCCATCGCCCTCTTCCAGGGAGCAGGGAAAGGACCGGAGTCTGAGGTTCATGCGTCCGCCCCAGCGCAGGCTCCTCCGCCCCCCGCCCCCGCCCTGCTCCCGCGGCGAAGGAGAGGGCGACCCACTTACTGCTTGCGCTCATGGTGACGCCTGTGCCCCGAGCCTTTCATGCAGGACGCAGGACCCGGCAGCTTTTTAAATCTTTGGATATTTCGACCTCACTCATCACCTGGGGGGTGAAAAGGCAGTCCAGTGCCGGCTGTCTCCCCGCAAGCGCTCGCCCCCTCTGCTGTCGCCCCCCGGTCTGGGCTGTAGCTACCGGCCTAGAAGGCGAGTGGGCCGGCCGGCAGGCGCAGGTGAGAGCAGCACGGAGGAGGGGGCGGCGGCACGCGGGCCCCGCTGCCCCTGGGCCCCGAGTGCCGGGCGGGAGCGGGGCTGGCAGCGCTGCTCGCGCACACCCCGGACTATCCAGCCCGGCGGCTCGGCGCCCGAAGGGGGTGTGGACCTCGGGGAGGCAGGGCGGGGCGGCGTGTCCCCGCCCGGCCTCCGCGAGCCGCGACCCGCCCCGGGACCCACCTCTCGGCCAGCGTCGGGAGCCAGCGGGCCCCGCCCGGGCCCCTGCGTCCAGTTCATGAGTCCCGGTGCCCGCCTGGGGTCCCGAATGGCAGGGCGAGCAACGCGAAACAGGAGAGGTCGCCACCCATGATGCGGGCTCGCGGGCGGCAGCCGGGGGGCGCGGCCGCTCGCTGCTGCCGCCTGCTGGACGCGCCGGCGCGTGTCCGGGCCCCGCCCCGCCCGGGCTCGCGGCAGGCTCCTGGGCTCCGCTGGGGCCGAGGGAGGGACCCCTGAGGCCCGGGACCGACACAGGGTGCTTGAGTGCTAGTCTTCCCTCCACGCGTGCTGGGGTCTAAGCGCCAGACGGTGACAGGAAGATGAACGCATCGTTGGGAAGGACAGAATAAGGGGTGGCTGCAGGAATCTTGAAACCAGCGGGGTGTCCGGCGGGTCTTGAGCAGGTCACGCTGTCTGTGCCGAGCCAGTAGGAGTTCCCCCAGCCACGTAACTTACGTGCTTACCTCCCCCTGTGTACCTTCTATCACTGACCATTTACTACAGTTGTTTCTCTCTTCCCCACTAGAATGTCAGCTCCATGAAAGCCCCCAGCACATGGTCGCTGTCATCAAATACTTGACAGGATGTCCTAGGTCTTTCTGCACGTAATACTGTGCAGCCCTCGCAGTAGGTCTGGGAACCTCCACCTTGAAACACTTCCTGGTCTGAGGCAAACAGCAGGTGTGTGGCCTCATGACTCAACCACTCTCGTTCACCCAGTTTTGTGTGGCCAACTAACCTGTCCAAAAGTATTTTTGTAATTAGTTCACGTAGGTGTGTGCTATAGAAACCTATATTCTGATTTTTTGGTCATGATTACTTGAGTGGGGTGGGATCCTTTACATTCCCCTCCTTACCCTGTCACCTTCTGAACCTGATTCATGGTCACAGAAGCATGCATGACTTGTGAGTGTAGAAAAAGAAGGCTGAGAGGCCACCTGACCCATCTCTATGGAATGACTCTGGTCATACCATGTGTAGAATCAAAAAGCCATGAACGCTACACCCCAACTTAGAGCCAAGGAAACACTGTGTCAGAGAGGCTGAACTACCTGCCCTCAGACACACAGAATCTCAGGCAGACCTGGACCACATCTTCTCACTTCCAGCTTGGTCCCTGTGAGAGGGACTCAGCGCACCAGGGTCTGGGATGTCAGGCTAAGGATGATAGCCACCCTCTTAAAACTGGGGAAATAACATCTTTTAGATACATATAATGCCCTGCCTTACATGGGGTGAAAAAAATTGATATGGATTATGATCCCAAGATGTGATAATGATTTAAAAATCATTAAATTGAAGGGTCAAAGGATTTGAAACATATTTTGATGGCTTATTAGGGTTTGTTTCCAATGGAGGGAGAGTGACCCTGACATCCTCACAGTGGGCCTCAAGGTTTCATCTGTATATCAATAACCTGAGCTATCGGCAAAATGCAGATCACCAGGCTCCTGATTCCCTTGCTCTGCATTTCACACAAGTACCCTAGGTGATTCACAGACCACTCTGCTACTGAAAAGGCAGAGGCCTACAACAGTTTGAAAACAGAGCAAGTAATTAATAAGCATTAAAATGATCCCAAGACATGTCTTCAGAGATCCCCTACGTTTTCAGATTGGGATTCAGTTCCCAAGTCGCAGGTAATTTGCTAGGCTCCAATGCTTGGAAAAAATTTTTTTTTTCCCTGAGAGAAAGTTCAGGTAAGTTAAATATGTACAATTAACAGGACTGTTTAGTGAACATAGTTATCACCCAAAGCCTCATTGTTCAGAAGTTTTCAGGTTATAGGACAACAGTCAAATAAAACACCACATTCATTCATTCATTCATTCATTCAGCAGTTATTTATTGAGTGTCTACTTTGTGTTAGGCCCTTTTCTGTCTGCAGGAGATATGACAGAACAGGCAAGGACCCTGCTCTCCGGGAGCATAAATCTTATTTGGGGAGAGGGTTAGACAGTAATTAACTAAGCAAAGCATGAAGTAGGCAAGCCCAGTGGTGGTTTGGTTAAGAGCCCAGGAACTGTTTCCGGTTTCTAGTCCGGCTGCTTTTTCAGTCCCAGCTCTGTCACTCATTAGCTGCAGGACCTTGGGCAAGGCACTCAGCCTCTGTGAGCCTCAAATTCTTCATCTATAAAATGAGCACAATATGGTGCCTCCCTCATGGATCACTGTGCGTACTGAAATAGTGCAAAGCCTGGCAAATGAAGCCTTGATGTATGCTAATTATTAGTACCATCCCTCACTTAACAGCTACCCTCGGACAGTTCTGTCATTTCTACCTATGGTAGACCTGTTGGGCTTTTCTGTACAGTGGTGGCCATGAAAATATGCCTCAGAATTTTTCAGCCACAGATCATTTAACTGACCAGTTCTTCCTATCTAGGGTTCTTTCTGATAATACATCCAGCTAGATACTAATGATTTCAGCTCTTTGGAGAATCCACTGGGCCCCTCTAAAAGCCCCAAATAGCTTCTGTTGGAGAAACAATCTTATTTTCCCTACATAGTTATAAAGATAGGAAGAAAGGGGTTAAGAGAAGCTTAAAAAGCTTTCCCCATGAGGATGTGCACAACAATTGGAGGCAGCCGGGAAAGACGCAGAAGGAAGCTGGGGGTGGGATGCTCGGTGGAGTTGGCTGTGAAAGTCATCAGGAAAGTAGAATCTTGGCTCTGTCCTTGTAGGAGAATGAGGCTGAAGACCACAGAGCAGAGGGTCCCTTTGTTTGGAAGTTTGTTTTGAATTTTAAGGCTCCAGAATGGAGATAAACAAGTCTCACTCGGAAACAGGCAAATGCTCCTGGTAGTTGGAAAACCAGGTGGGAAACCCTTGGGACACAGATTTTCCACTTTCTTCAGGGGTAAAGAGGAAACCTGCGGGGACAGCTTAGCCCCGGCTGCTGCCTGAGCAGCCCGCATGGTGCCTCTCTTCTCGAAGCGCCCCCATCTCTCCTGACTTCCTGTCCTGGGCAGGCCCGTCTGCAGCTCCCCTCCCAGCTCTCCGCCCTCCTCATTGCTGTCAGTTACTGACGCGGCCCTGGACCCCCAGCTTTTCCTCCTAGTTGCCTTCCTCTCACTCCCGCTGGCTGCATCCTGCTCCTCCAGCCTCCGCATCAGCCTTCACCCCACCACTCCTGTCCACCCACGAACATGCTCTTTCATCCTCATCTCGAATGCAAAGCCTGTCTGGCCGATGAGGTTCTCATGATCCACCAGTTTCTACTGGTCCTGCCTAGGTTATTTGAATATCCCATCATGTCCCATAAGAAAAGAGCAAGTACTTTAATTTTTATTTTGAAAAATAATATGTAGTTGTTAACAAAATGAGCCAGATCTACAGGCAATAGTGGGGGGAGACTTTCATGGTGTGTGGCTTAACAAGAAAAGAAATTGCACAAAAACATATACAATATATTCTTTGGGATAATACACACATGTGGCACAGGTATTATATGTAACATAATATATACTCTCTGGGAGATACCTTACATATATCGTATCATGTCATATAAAACAGTTAACATTTTCCCACAAAGGGGACTTCCATAGGTACTTTGTGTATGTACAGCTATAATACATAGAAAAAGACCTGAAAGACGCATGAATGAAGGTTAACTGTTGGATGATGTAGTTTTAACAAAATCACTCAGACAAGTGTAAGACATGAGAGATTTTGGCAGACATTCATTTGAAGAAAAACTAAGGTGTTCTTTCCTTTTTCAGTTCATTCACTCACTGGTTCATTTATTCAACAACTTCTAATTGATTGTCTATTCCCTGCCAGGCACTGTGCCTGCCAGAAACATGGGGGGAGCAGACACCATACAAATAAACACACAGGATTACAGTCTGTAACTGAGAGCAGAGGGCGCAGTAAGCGACTAAGAGATGGGCGCGTCCTCAGCAGGTGACTTAGCTGAGGCTGAGAAAGGAGGAACAGCCATCCATCGATCTGGTGTAGGGAGGGGTGGGGAGAGAAGGAGTGGCTGCAGAGCTGAAAAGCCAAAGAGAAAATTCTAAGTGGGAGGGAAGATGGGACCAGATGCAGGAGGTCGGTCTAATGGCTTCTTAGCAGAAATGCTGAGTGCGGTGCAGGTGGTCAAGATCACGTTCAGGATGAACAGGACTGGGATGGAAGTAGCTCTCCTGGGCTAGGAGGTCAGAGGTCCTGCTTACAGTCCTGAAGTGCCAGGATATGAAGAGCCTGGAGGCAGTGGGGTAAAATGGTTTGGCTTAGAGTCCTGGCTCTATTCTCCACCACTGTGTGACCTTCAGAAAATGACTTAACCTCTCTAGGCCTAGCTTATTTGCATGTAAAGCAGGGACCCCAGCAACACTGATGCTGGGGTTCTTGTTCACAAAGCTGAAGAATGAGCTTCACGAACACTCAAGGTAGGAGAGCAAGGTATAGGCTTTTACTGAGAGATAAAGTGACAGGACAGAGCTCCTGGCTCATGACAGAGGGGACAAGAGAGTCCGGGCTGGTGTGTTGCCTAGGGGTTTTATAGGCAGATGAGGATTTTTCAAGAACATGGTAAAAAGCTTAAGGGTGTGGACTTATTAAGTGGTCCCAGGATATTTAGAATTAACACAAGTAACTTCCTGCTCTGTTGATTTCTCCCTGAGATACCAGCATCTTGGCCTGGGGGCATATGAAACAAGGCCACCTGCTCAGCCCCCAAGGTGGGCTGAGGTATTGTTTGCTGAAGAGTAAGTTAACAATTTCTAACATTTTAACTTCTTGGGTGTTAAAATGCAATCTTATCTTTAAGGTGGAATCCTTCTTGCCTTTTACTGTGTTGTTTATGCCTGGCCTTACTTGCTAAATTAGTTGCCCAGTTTGCAAAATAACCTCATCAGATCTGAAGGAGGAAAGACAGCACATAGGCCTGGGCCTTTTAGCCTGCTAAGGTGAATCTTACACATGATTAGAAATGATTAGCATAATAACATGTGCTACTCTTCTTTATCTGGGGAATATTAACTGATCTCACTGAAGAATGACTGTAGAGCTGAATGTTTGACACAGAGTTTTAGAAGGGGGTTTCCTTGCATGTAGTTACACTGCTCTGACTGCAAATATCCTGCCTTGCTTTTCCCAGAGGCCCTCACCCTACTCTGACTGCACCCACGGTCTCAACACCTTCCTCACTGTGAGTGTCAACGGCGACGACAGGCACAGCAGCACCATGGCAGGCACCTAGTAAATGCTCATGCACTGCAGTGCTTGCCTTGGGAGAACCTGACTGGCAGCCCCCTCTCTGCACCTGAGTTTCTGCATTTATAATTGGAGGACTGGATCAGATGAGTCCATTCTGCTCGGATGTCCTCGGTTCCAAGCCTCTGGCTGTCCTGGCTTAGAATTTGGCAGAAGACTGACACGTTCTAGGCTGGGGTGGGGATCTTTGATGCCCCAAGGGCACCACTGGCTTGTGCTGAGACACAGGCCCTGAGCAGAGGGTGGCTCCCCCCAGGAGACGGTGCTTTGTGTGGTGCTCCCCACCTCCATGTCTGTGCTCCATTCCTCCCTGGGGGAGCCCCAAAGCCCACGGTAGAACTGGCAGGGCATGGGCTCGCTTTCCAGGCTGGAACAGGTTTGTGATGGGGTCACGTCTCCCTCTTGTTCCTCACAGTTTTCATGGAGAAACGTTTAAAAAAAATTCAGAGGGTCCCAAGGTCTTCGGGAAGCTTCTGGGGGGGAACAAGGGAACAGGCTTGGCTATCAGCGTGTCAGGGCCCTTGGTGCTGGCAGCAGGCGGTCCCACCACGGGGCTCTGCTGGGGTCTCGCTCACATCCAACTGTGGCTGGGGCCGCCTTCCTGACGGCCACTCTGCCAGCAGAAGCAAGGAGCTGGGGCACAGCCAGTTCCGGATGGGAACCCAGGAGATCTGAGAGCCGGACTGAGGCCTGCCAGCGTGGGCTCAGCTTCTTCACGGGTGTCCACCAGGATGCACTGAACCCTCTATCCTACTTCTCCATTTTACAGATTAACAGACTGAATCTTACTCTTTAGTCACCAGTAATGTCTCTTTTGCCTCCAGTCCTACCTGGAGTGCCGTGCTTCGCTGTGCTTGCCTTGTATAAAGTCAGTCGCTTCCTCAAGAGTCCCTCAAATCCCCTCTCATCCTGGAAGCCAGCCTTGGAGCTCCCCTAGGGCGGACTGTCATTAAGAGGCCCGCCTCTTATGGCTCCCCATACGGAGGGTTTCTCTGGCCTTCCAGTGAGTTTGTCCATCTGGAGAACTTTGCACATACTGTTCCCTATACCTGGTTTGCTCTTCATGTTTCTTTGCAAAGCCGGAATCCCCTCATCCTCTGCGTCTTAGCTTCATTGCCACCTCCCTAGAGAGGTCATCCATGACCTGCCCATGAAGTACCCCCGGGAGTGTCTTTAAGTAATGGGTGGAGGAAAAGCCTCTCAGACAGCGTGCGCATATCCACCTCTTCTTAGAGTGCAGCTAAATCACCTCCATGCCCTCTTCCCATGACTGGGCTCTCTTTCCTCTATTCGTTTGGCTGTTTGGGATCTAAATTCTACCTCTGAATATGGTCCTCCACTGAATCCGTTACATTCTGCTGAGAATGCATGTCTCTCCTCATTACAAACGGGTCTTCACAGCTGCACAGCCGGGATGTTCAGGGTTGTCCTGTGCAAGAGAAAAAGGAGTAGGAATCCAAAGAGCTGGGATCAGGTTTGTCTTCCCTTCCTAGCTGTGACCTTGGGCCATCACGTGATTCTTGTTGTCCCAGTCTATTCAGCTGTAATGAATAACAGTGTTCATTAAACATTATTACATTATAATTACCCATTTCCTGTGCAAATCTCAGGGTTGTTTCACAAATGAAATGAGAAACGGTGTGCTTTGTAAACTCAAGTCTATGCACAGTAGGTGGTGATTATTTTTCCTTCATCTTGAATTAACATTTACACAGAATTTGCAGAAGGTGACATCATATCCCCTGATATCCAGGAAGGCCATGGAAAAGGGCAGGCAGCGGTCAGCATAGGTGTGTGCTTGTCATTTTCCCAGGAACACCATTACAGTGTGTCCCACTGTTCGGAGTGACACACTGCAATCCACAGGCCGCCAAGTGCCTGACGGAGGCACTTGGGAATTGGACCTCTAGTTGTGAAAGAAACCCACAGTTCATGACCCAGAATCAGTGTTGGATCGCAACTGCTGTGGGAGTTCTTAGAGTTCATCAAAAATAAGTTCTGCTTCTACAGAGTCCCCAAGGTGTGGGGGATTGGCTGATGTCCCGCACTGAGTCAACGGTGACAGCAGTAATGATAAGGAAGGCTCGCTGGGATCTGGATGGCCACTGGGTAGTTAGAAGGTCCCACACTTGAGTGCTTCATTTTGAGAGTTGCATCTAAGAGCAAAGACCTCCGTCCGCCACAGAGGACTTCTCACAAAGCAGACAGAAAGGTGATCACATTGAAGCAGCATTTTGTTTGCACTTCAGGGAGGATGGCAAACACCAAATCACAATTCATAGTGAGATCAACTGTGGCATATCGTGCCAAGGGATATTACACAGCAATTAGCAAAACGAGGTGCAAGTTTATATAAAAACATGGAGAGCTACTCAATGTTTTTGGGAATTGAACGGTCTGGGGGAGGCAAAGGGTTGCTGCAGAGCCATGACCTACAATAAGCTACAACTTATTAAAAGGAACTCAAAAGAACCACACTGTCTTTTCTAGGCATATACACGCATGCACTTTAAGGCATGAGAAATGGCCTGGACGTTTTCCCACTTAACTGGTAGTAATAGTACGTGGCTGTAAGTGGGATGAGGGGCTGAAATGTGACCAGGATTGGAGACGTCTAAGGAAACATCAGCCTTAGGCACCACGTTTCATTTCATTTCTTTCTTTTTTTTAATAAGGAAAATATATTCATGATTTTTCATGTGATTAACAATTAATAAGAATGATTTTAGCAGTCAGCCTTAGACTCTCACTAGAGCCCTCTGCCGGGCAGGCACGGCTAACTCCTGACTGACTGACCGTGTGTGAGTCACAGTGCCCGAAGGGGGAGATTCCACTTCCCATCTCCATGCTGTCCGGACACTCTGCTTCTGGGGGCCCCCGTGGCTTCTGCAGGCCTGTCCCACGCCAGGCCCTGAGTGTGAGCACAGAGTGACCAGGGGCCAGTGTGGCAGAGTCCTCCTGTAATGGACCTGGAGGCTCAACAAGATGGGTCTGCAGGGCACAGCTGACAGAACCCCAAAACCTGTAAGCCTGGAGGCTCCGGTTCAAATCTCAGTCCTGCTTCCACCTTCTGGGGAAGCCCTGGGCAAGTGCCAGCCTAACTCTGCCCTCCTCCCCTCGCCTCTCCCCTTGCTCCCTCTGCTGCAGTCACTCGGGCTTCCTTTCTACTCATCGCACCTTCTGTGCCTGCCTCGGGCACATGCTTGCTGTTCCTTCGGACCTGAGCCCTCTCGCTCTGACTTCCACGGGACCAGCTCCTTCTCACGGCTCAGTGCTCAGTTCTCACCTCTGGTGAACACTGCCTCTTGGACGGACTTTCCAAGTCTCCCTTCTGCTGTATGTCCCTCTTTGCCACAACATGCTGTTATTTCCCTTAGAGAATAGAACACTGATGGAAGTTATACTGTGCAATTTATTTGTGCACTTTTATCAATGGTGTTGCCCATGGGAAGGTAGGTGCATCAGGAGCGGGCACTGATCCTGTCCTCTGTAGCACAAGTGCCCAGAGCGGCATGTGGCACATAGTAAGTGCTCCATGAAGACTATGTAAACGAATGTGTGACCATCACAAGCTCAGTGAGAAGAGTGCAGTTGGAGAAGAAGGGTGCTAAGTTTCTTCTAGTCCCTTACAGTCAGGAGTTGAATCCTTGAGCCAGGCAGGACCGGACAGAGGGGCAAGCCCCTTGATGCTGAAGGTGCGGGGCCTGTTTCTTAATGCCCGCATGCTTCAGTTTGCTCATCTGGAAGACGAAAAGATTGGACTAGATGCTTTTCTTCAGCTCCAAGCTTTTACTAGGCTATAAAATAGAAATGACTTGGGCCCATGTGCTCAAATCAAGATATATGCTTGAATACACTTCCTTTAATATGCCTCTAATACCAGTTTTGGTTAGCTGTTTTTCCATTGTCCTCTTTCTCATAAAAAATGGACTGCAGAGTGTGTGGCAGTCTGGCCTCTGGTGGGCTGTTACACGGAGCCCTTTATGCAAAATTCATTATTGAATCAAAGGCTGCAGGCTTCTCTCATTTGTTTCTTTGCTCTCCAAACAATTTTTGGCTTTGACATCTTTATTAGTGTCCTCTGGCCTTTTAGCAGAATGAAAGGCTGGTATCTAGTCACTTGGGCTGTATTCTGAATATGACTAATGAGCATGCAGAGGAAGATGAAGTATTTCTGAATACTTCTGAAGTAGTTCCAAAGCCCCTTGTTCAGGCGTGGGGGGTTGAGCAGGGGGAGCACCTGACTCTCCACGCCTCAGAAAAGATCGAGCTCAGCTTGGTCTCAGGAGCCAGGCTCCGGATTCAGTGCTGTGTCCCTGCCTCCCTTTGGAGAGGTAACTGAGCAGAGGCTGCAGGCCAAAAGTAGAGCAAAGCCTCCTTTTACCAAAAGCTTGCTGTGAGCCAGGCATGGTTCCAAGGGCTTTGCATACATTATCTTATTTAATTTTTCCTAGAGCCCTGTGAGATAGGAATTGTTATTACCCCCTATTTTTCAAATGGAGAAACTGAGGCTTAGAGAGGATAAATCAAATGTTGAAACTCATTGGGGGTGGAGCTGAGATTTGAACCCAGGCTGCCTGATGTCAGAGCCTAAGGTCTTCCCCACTGCCAGGACTGGTCGCCTAGTGAAGGACACTATGCATATCCCGGAGTATAAGTCTGGCTCTGCCAGGACAAGGTGCAGTTAATAATGATCCCAAGTATTCAAGTCTCTAATCAGGATTTCTAAAAATCACTGGGCTATAAGCAAGTCAGCTACCATTCATTCCTTTGACAAACACACAAGCATTTAGGTGCCAGGAGAATGTATACACCTGACTGCCCCAAATAGAGGCAGTCCTTGCCCTTGGGGGACTTAAGAGTCATTTGATGTCTGAGGAAATGAAAATTGAGAGATTGTATGTAACCTGTTCATTTCCATCCAGCTTCTCAGTGACAGAATTGACATTCAAGTCCAACCACTGGACTGTCGAGCCACTAAACTTTCCTGCTCAATGGAAAGTGAGATCTTGAAGGTGTA